TACTACGAGGCTGGGCTTATAAACCGTGGGCTTAATAACCGGCGACTACTGTGTATGTATATGTACAGACATCGACGCAGTAGAATGCCTTAATCAAAAAAGTCAACACTCTCTCTGAGGGTATCGTATAGCAGGCATTCACATTTTTCGTAGAGGTTTCACATGGAATCATTAATGTGGTAAAAATGCCACAAAGCTCAGCGCAGGAAAATAGGCATTAATGAAGAAAAAAGCGCATATTTTACAGTGCTGTTACCCCGGTCCAACTGTAAGAAAGTCACTGGTTTAAATGTCGCAGTACATGCATATTACAGAGGCAGTGCCATGTGCATATGAGTGGCGCGGTGTGAGTATGTACCTAGGCGTTTCATCAGAACCCCCCCCCCATAAAAGAACTTCTTCATGGGTGCGGATCCCCAACAGCGTGTGTCATACCCGGTTTAGGGACTCGCCATGAAATTACATACTACCTAGGTTGTGCTGTTTGCGAGGGGTCGCGGGGTGAAATTGTTTCAGGTAATATCCGAGCAACCTGATTACAAGTAGCATTCCAAACTCTATGAATGAAAATGACTGCAATGCCTCAAGCTGATTATTGTCGAGTACTTCTATCGTTTATTTCACGAACTTTGCTAAAAGCAGCACGTGACTGATCGGATCTACATATGCTTCGGATGCAATTAATGAGTCCGGGGATTGGTGCACCGAATTTAGAGGACACGTCTGAGTTTCGAAGTCACACCCATCACATGCATGAGGAGCAGCATTCAGACTCAATCAGGTAAAGACGTTAATGGAAAGCCATATCGAAACAGTAGTCTGCGCTCTCACCATATGCATGCGGTTTTTTTAAAAACATCAATATGACTTTAACAATTTTCTGCATTTATTGGAAAGCGGGGGACCGTTTGCTGCCGTAAAGTGCGTGAACTATCACATGCAAATTTACGAATAATTGATAACCACTCGAAAAGCGGTTTAAATACATGTACCGAAACTGTAAAGTAATGATGAACACCCCAAAAGGAAATTTAAAATTTTAACGAATATGGAAATTAATAATACTTTATAATAGGGCAGATTTGGTTGCTCTCCTGGTTGCCCGTGAAGACATCAGCTAATAGAGGTCCAAGGGGTGATCCTATCGCAACGCCATCGATTTGGCGGTAAAATTGGCCATTAATGCTGAATTGTACGTTTAACATACAGCCGAAGAGTAATTCCTTTAGGTTTCCGACTGGCGTGCCAATTGGAAAATCCTGTCTAAAAATCTCGTCACACAAAATTTCGATGGTTTTTATTGGTGAAAAGAGACGCGATATCTAGGGATAATATCGTTTTGCCATTGAGATTTGTTCTCGTTTACCCAATTGTGAAAAAACTCGCCAAATGCCGCGAGTTTTTTCACAATTGGGTCAATTAGAATTAAGCAAATCTGCAAAACCCCCTAATAATTGAGATTTGTGTTTCTTATGGACTCAACGAATTCAGAAGTGTCCAGTAGGCTGTGTGGCGCTATTTGGTGCCGAATCAGTTTCAGTTTTTATGCCAGCCACCTTGCAATTGCATGATATGGTGAATTGCACATATCAATTATCGGCCCTATTGGAGCGCCTGGTTTGTGTATCTTAGGCAAACCATACAGCCTTGGGGGAACTGTGCCTGCGGGTTTGAGTGCTCCTAACTCTTGTTCACTAGTGAAACCTTGGTCTTTCAGTTTTCGAAGACAAGTTGTCAGTTGATATTCTACGCTCTCAGTTTGATCCTTATGATGTCTTCCCTTTTTAAACTTAGTATCATCAGCCAGGATTGTATCAATCTTGGAAATATAAACGCTTTTATTCATAAGAACGAGACCAGAGCCTTCGTCCAGTTTAGTGATAAATATTTCACTATTTTGGCGCAAATCTTTAAGTTTCTCCATGATGTTTCATGGATGCGTCCGATGCTTAGAGATTTAATGCGAAGATATTACTAGCAAAAGTTCACGAGCGGCAATCGATGGCGCAGCGATGGTAGCGCCCATTGGACCTCTATTAGCGCATATCTTCATGGGACAGTGAAGTTCAACAAACTTTCCCCTATTATAAAGGACCTTCCTTTCTATGTTCG